GCCGATAGTCGCTGTGTCGTTCGTGGTCTTGTCTACGACGCAGCGCTCGCCTTGTGGTACTCACGTCCTGGTCTCTACGTTATAGCAACCGAGGTTAAGTCCTCTATAACGAAGCGTTTGGCGGTGAGAAAAAAACAAGCAACCCGCTCAGGCCGATGGCAGGAGCAGAACTGGACTGTAAAATCTGCTAACCGCGGAACACGCCGCACAAGGAACACAACGTATGGGTAGCAAAGGCACATGAGCACGCTATAATTGACAGGCGGGCGAGGAAGGTGATCATGGCCACTGGGACATTTTACCAGTGATCTTCGAGCTTGTTTCATGATTTGTCCAGAGAAGAGAAAGCAATCTTTAGGCAGTTTTGCTAATTTATTTTCAGTTTTACGCTATGTACTGCACCTAATTTTTTAGATAGCGTGCTCTTAGAAACCTCTACTACCAATAGGCAGCGTTTTCTGATGATGCTCAAAAATGTCGCTGTGGCCTGGCGACGGCGAACAGTAAGTTTGTCGGCTTGTCGATTGCGCTCCTGCGAGATAGCGATGTCGTGCGAGCATTCGTTGTGCTGCGGGCAGGGTCCCTTTAGGTGACCTCTAGTGGTATGAATGTCTGCGCCTTGCCATGCAGTCTCGAAAGGCTTGCTCGCGACATAATAGTATATTCTGGTGTCGACTAGAGCAGCGACTAGGTGTTCCTCGAATAATACGTCGAGCTTGCTGGTTCGTCGTCGTGCGTTGTGGTTGCGTCATGGCGCCGGATTACAGCTACATCAGTTCATTCTGTTGCTTCCTCATTGCCTAGTGAAGTCTTCTTTGGTGTGTGGAGTTTGGGCGTCAAGATCTTTTTGTCTTGCGGCCTGTGCTTCTGATTTCGTTGTAGCACTATCGTCGTTGGCGGCGGAGCGCCTTTGGTAGTTCGTCTTAGAGCAACCACACCTCTATCGATTGATGCCCTTAGTTTTTCGAATAATGGCTTGGAGGTCGGCCCTGAGCAAGGCTGGCATACTGCCTGCGATATGGTGAAACGATATGGTGAAACGTCGCAGCCTGGCCATGGCAAACAGTAGGGTTGTCGGTTTCTAGATTGCGCTGCGAGATAGTTGGCGATGCGTGCGGGCGTTTTCCCTGCTGTGGGCAAAGTGCGATGCCGTTTTAACTCCGTAGACCCATCTGTCAGTATTGGTAGCAACGATAGGTGTAGCCCGCTTCTCCGCATTGGTAACAGAGGGGTGGATGGTCAGGAGCATGAGACACATCGGTTTTCGTTGGAGCGTTGCACTGGCTGGCGGGTGCACTGTATGGTGCCATCGGCGGCCGACCTACGATGCTGTGGTCTCTTGACGTGGAGAGGGAGCGTAGTGTGGAGCTGCAGTCGCATAGCTCATGGCTTTCGGCTGAGGCTGTTGCAGTTCCTCGGAAAGTCCAAGTGATTGCCTAAGTTCTTCGCGGACAACGACGACGTTTTTATCCACTTCAGGCGGCAGCGAAGGTAACATACCATAGAAATATATGAGCGCACTAGGCAGAAGGAAAAAGCAATTGACAGGAGGGATGCTTACGCTACAACTACAGTTTTATTAGAAACAATTTATTGCACAAAAACACCGAAACGCGCCGGCGCAACCTAATATCATTAAAAGGCGTAGCTCCCCACAAAAGGTATGTTTGTTTCTTTCAACTGCTCAAAAACACCTCTTTTAACTTAGCGCTACCGAGGAAACACTGATGATACACGTGCTTGCGTTCGCCCTAATGCATTCTGCTTCCATGATTTCTCTGGTTAATCTGCGTTTTGATTTGGCCAGCATCATCATGCTGTGAAACTGCGGGTTGCACCCACAATTCCTGCAGTGCATTGACAAGTCCGTGCCATCCGCGAGAAACTTCAAGGTCGATGCACGTTTTCTGAGTCGATCATTTAAACACCGGCCCGTCTAGCCAATGTACACTTTTACGCAGCTCAAGGGTGTTTAGTACACCATTACTGAAGTACACAGTACACACAGCTGGCATGTTTTTTTGTGCAACCGCTCTTGTTCATTCCTTCCTTTCTACGGTATTCTATCACGGGGCACAGTTTAGTAACCTTTCTGGGAGCCGTGAGCAAAACGCATACTCCGTGCTCGCACCCAATCTTGACCAAACTGCGAAATTTTTTGCACATAGGGAACGGCTACAACCGTTTTTTTTGCAGATCGGTGGCACTTGACCTCCGTAACTTCTTTAACATGGTACAGCCTACAGCCAAAAGGAAGCTGTACAGTTAACCCTAACTGAATGGGTGTCTGACTGGATTCCGGAAACGGCGTTCCCCTTTATGCGGACATGATTATCTGAGTGCGCAACCGAAGCAGAAATTAGCTATCAACCTGTTTATTAGCTTACTGGGAGAAGATTCAAAGGGAAGCAGTCCCTTTTTTGATCGCGGGGAGACCTCCTAGCAAGCATGGTCGACTTGATTAAAATACTTGTAAAAAACCTGAAAACTCCAAAGCAGCTCTGTCTGGTTGTTCATAGATGAATGATATTGTACTTTTGCATTGGTTAAAACAATCCTAAATGTTGTTTGCTACTGAAGTGGGAGAACAATTATCCTCTATGTTCCACATCGCTAGGAAGTCGCCTACATATCTGTAGGCAATACCTACACGTTGTCCTGCGAGCTCATGTTGTATCTTCCTGTCAAGTTTTGCTAGGAATATTTCACAAAGCACAAGTGCCACACAGGAACTAATGCATATGTCCTTCATTTGGGCAACTTTCAAATCATAAAATTTTACCAAGATGGCACGCCAGTAGCAATTTAGTAACTCCATAAAATTTTCCACATTATTTAAAACATGGTTTTAAGAGTTTACTACCCCGAAAAAGTCAATGACTTCCCATATAGCTAGAAACAGTTCATCGTTCGGGACGGAATAAAACAATTTTTTAACATCAACCGAAAAACCGTAATTAGCACCGCGCACGCTTTACAGCAGGTCTTACACTAATACTTCCAAACACTTCAGCTTGAAGGAGTCATCAGGAGCCATAAGTTCATGTGTCGTAGCCGGTAGGAGCTGACGAGATGCTGCCACCATCCCTTTTCCGTGACAATGGCTCAAAGGAGACACAAGATCTTAGGGGCCTTCCTGAAAACAGTACTTTAATATCGTCAACCCGGAGCTCATCGCGGCGGCGAATACAGGTGAGCATTTAATGAGCAAGCATTCGGGAGGCCGAAGGCAGTGGCGGCCAATTTCCACGCGGCTGCAAAGCACGGGCAAACTGTAGATGCTCAAGCTGACCTTCGCGGTGCATTTCGTGCATGCGACATACAACACGACCGAGCCCGTTGCCGGCAAGCGCGATCCATATCACACACGAGACAAGTAGAGCAGAATAATGAATGATAACTTACTTGCTTAAGAATCCAGCGCTGATTTCTGTCCTGAGTCGGAGTGAAGCATATATCAGATAGGTATGCTGTCTTCTCAGCCGCCATATTGGCCTTCCCAACTGTTTCTGTCGTGTGTTTGTCATGACTATCTTGAAGCCAGAGATATACAGCGCGGCGTGGTGACGTGTCGAGTCTTACTCCAGACTTCATGGGTGCAGCGAAACGCAAAAGCAGCAGCCCACCCTCATCCAAGCGTACACAGAAGCACTACGTCGTAATTCCTAGATCGTCGAATTTATGCGGCCGTGGTCGAGCACTTCGAGCGCGACGCAACGCGAACCGTCGCCAGCAAAATACGGGGAAAGACTGAGCCAGCAGAGGAGGAGAAAGACGACTAGTCACCTTGACAACGTTTTTTGCACTGCCTGCCATCCCCGGGCGGCTCATCCTTTTGGAGCATGTTTGGAGACTAAGCGGTTTGCGCGGGGCACGCTGCCCTCTCTGGTTGCTCCTCAGTGGTCTATCCACTCATCACGCACACCTATTGGGCTTCGTTACTCCCTTTTCGGGTAATTTTGACTAAAGGTACATACTCTGAATATGGCCCTCACTGCCGGCTGCAAGCTCGCAGATCGAGGCTGGCGTCAGCGTCTTCGTCCCGACGTTAGCTCGGCTAGCAGCCAGAGGGAGGTGTTTGGTACATGGGCCAGCAAGCACCTCCACCAGATTGCAAGGGGCCGTGACGCAAATTGAGATAGCAGACTGGGTGCTGAAGTTGAACTGTTTTTGGGCCGAACTTCTGGCCACGTAAAAAGAAAGTCAGATGTCAGTGGCAATGTAATTTGATTGATTGATCTGGGGTTTAGCTTAGCAAATCCAGCATACAATTATGAGAGAGGCTATAGTGAAGGGCTTCGGAAAACTCGACCACCTAGGATTTTTTAACAAACATCAAAATCTGAGCATGCGGGCCTACAGCATATTCGTCTTCATTGAAATACAGCCGCTGCCGCTGAGATTTGATCCCGCAACCTGCGGATCATTGCACAATCCCGCTACCGCAACCTGTGGGCCGAGTACATTAGCCATTAGACCACCACGGCGGGGCGTTGTTGCGCAAGACAGCACATACTCGTGTAATGAGGCGATAAGAAAAACTTGAGAAAGCAGCCTGGTAAAATGTTGTGTGGTACCCACTCGTTGAACATTATGTGGGATTTAAAGTCCCGAAACCACCATATGAATATGAGAAGCACTGTAGGGAACGAGTCTAGCAATACCAACCACCTTGGGTTCGTTAACGTGCACCGAAATCTGAGCTAACTTGCTTGCAGTTTTTCACCTCAATCGAAAATGCCGCCGCTGCAGTTGGGATTTGATCCCGCGACCTCCTCGTGAGCAGGCAAGTACCTTAGCGCTACACCAGCGCTGCGGGATGTGCGTGTTCATACATCTCCTTGGTTGATGTGGGAGATTGTAATTTATGCACATGATGGTTATGAAGAACACACTGAGTGTAATCTTGTCAAATTTCGACATTAGGAATCGCAATGGCCGTTCCCATCAACAAACTGTGCTAATTAGTGTACTCGTGGTGTAAAACTTTTTTTTTGCAGGAAAAAGGAATGGCGAAATTTGAGCACAAGGCAGCCTCGGTAAGTCTCAAAGTCTTCTTCATATAAGTACTCTGCTTATAGGCCCCTTCTTAATCAAGAATACAGTTTACTGAAACGCGCAAAGTTCAAATTTCTGTGGTAAACAGGCTAAGAGTAATCTGCCTAAAGGTTTTGTTTGTGTAAGGTGGCGTCATTTGTATTTTTCGATTGAAAGCGTTCTGAGAAGAGTTATTGCAGTGCCTCGGCACATTCACAATTCTATGCACTGCTTGCGCTACCGCTTCCCTCAGTACGGCTCGTTGGTCAAAACCAACCATCTTCCTCCGAAAGCTCAGAAGAAAGGCTGGACCCTGGATATGTTGATGACTTATAGATAAGTGTGCACTTTGCAGTGGTGGTGACCGAGTGATGTGGATCAATTTTTCTGAATTGAGGTATTTAACTCTTGTTATTGCAGTTAGACTTACATAGGCACGCGAAGCATATGTAGACAGCTACCATATTCAACCGTCGATACCATCGTTGCTACCCTAGGTTTGTCATCATGTTCTGTATTAACACTGAAAGTGATAACATCGCCACACGCAAGTCGATGCTATTACTTTATTCTTTATGACAAGTTACAACGCCTCTAAGAACAGTGATATCATTGCCATGCTTGCACAATTATTCTTAGTTCTTTCTGGTGTGGCGCATACCTCGCGCAAACTGGGCTCCTTAGTTCAAAATGAATTTCGCGAGCATAAGCGTTGTATCTCACTTATAGTACTTGTTCATGGAGAAGTGCAAGACGAGCTATTCTTCAATGCCAGTTTTGTCCAGGCTGCAAAATGTGCCAGGATCAAAAAGGTGAGGAGGAACCGCAGATAGCGGAGCTGTTGTGTACTGTGAGGACTGGGCACTGTCTACGGGCATCATGGCCGAACAAAAGTGGCTTCCGCAGTGGAGTTTTAAAGCCTTGTTGTTCTAAGGCCTACAACGTCTGTGAAATGCTGTTAGGACGAATATTTATTCATTGTTTGTAAATCAGTAGTGAGCAACATAGCAATTCACAGAACACACAGGATCGCAGGTCCATAAGGTAGCTCAGACTCAGCCATACAACAACTTTGTGATCTTCGTTCATTCGGTGACGTTTGAGCAGCCATGCCAGAGTGGCTTTGCTATACCCATGACAATATATTCTATGTGTACGCTAAGCCTTGCCCGTAATAAAGACGCGCATGGCTCAGAGTTTAAACGCGCCGGACCCTTTGTCAGGTGAAGACGTGCGAAACGGCGCTGCTGAAGCACCGAGGGCGCTCCCTGATTGTCTTCAGTTGTGCTCGTTCGAAAGAAAGATGGAACAGTGCATTTCTGCGTCAGTTACCATGCGCTAAACACAATAACGCGCAAGGATGTTTATTCTGTCCCTCGGATCGACGACGCACTGGATTCATTACAGGGCGCCGAATATTTTTCTCACCTCAACCTTAGTTCAGGCTACTGGCAGATACCCATGACGGAGTCTGATAAAGAGAAGATCGCCTTTTCAATGTCAGATGGGTGGTACGAGTTTATTGTAATGTCTTTTGAACTCTGTAATGCACCCGCCACCTTTGAACACGTGATAGTAAACGTATTGCGTGGCTTGAGAGAGAAAACGTGTCTGTGCTATCTCCATGACATATTAGTGTTTTCATCCACGTTTTCGCACCATCTACAACGTTTTGACAAAGTCCCCAGATGACTTGCGAAAGCCGGTCTACAGCTTAACACCAAGAAATGTACCTTTGCAAGCAAGACAATCAAGGTTCACGGCCACATTGCCAGCAAACAAGAAATTTGGCCGCACCCCGAGAAGCTTGCCGCCGTCCTCGATTTTGCTCGTCCACTATGTGAAAAAGACCTGCGCAGCTTTCTTGGGTTATCTTCTTACTTTCGGTGCTTCATACGGGGCTTCACGGAACTAGCGTCTCCGCTCCATCAACTCCTCGCAAGGAACGTCACTTGGTTTGGTCCGAAGCCTGCGAAAGCACTTTCACGGCATTGAAACAAGCCCTCACGTCGGATCCGGTATTGTGCCACTTCGATTCAACTGCACCAATCATCCTTCACACCGACGCAAGTAGTCATGGTATAGGTGCGGTACTCTTGCAGTGTGACAAAAATCGCGCAAACGCGTCAGTGCTTACGCAAGTCGTGTTCTTACCGCTGCAGAAAAGAACTACACTATCACCGGGCAGGAGTGCCTTGTTGTAGTTTGGTAAATGCAAAGATTCTGACCATATCTTCGCGGCCCTCATTTTACCGTTGTTACCGACCATAATGGCCTAAGCTGGCTTTCCTTGCTCAAAAACTTATCTGATCGCCTCGTTCACTGGGTACTTCGCTTGCAGGAGTACGATTTCGATTTCGCCTACAGATCTGGGAAGAAGCATCAAGACTGCGATGCTCTATCGCGCTGTCTTTTGCCCAGCAGAGGCCAATCACCATCGATACTCCAAAACGACAGCGCCTCTGCAGTCGCAGCGCTAAGTACATCACCTGGCATCCTATCCATCCTTGTTTCACAACACCGCGTCGACCCATACTGCGACATCACTGTTTGCCGCTTGACCGGCTCTACTACTCCTGAAAACCATACTCCGTCGACAGCCTAAACCATTTAAGCTTGTCGGTGGTGCTTTATACCGCTAAATTTACCATTTCAATGGCGACAAGTGGGTACCCATCATCCTACGTATTTTGCAACGTGAAGTTCTAGAAGCCTTTCATGATGACCCAACCGCCGCTCATCCATGCTATCAGAAGGCTTAAGACAAAATACGAAGTCGTTGTTTTTGGCCTGGCCTCTCTTCAGTTGTCACTAAGTACGTCGCCTCTTACGTCCATTGATAACGGCGAAAACAACAAAGAGCTGTTCCAGCTGGCTAATGCAACCTCTTCCTTGTCCCACTTCTCCTTTTGAAGTCGTTGGGATCGACTTGTATGACCCTTTTTCTATATAATTCAATGGGAATCGATGGATTGTCACGGCCAACGACTACCTTACCCGCTACGCTGAAACAGCTTCTATGCCATCTGGGACTGCCATGAGGTCACCGATTTCTTTCTTCGCCACATCTTTTTGCGCCACGGAGCTCAGCGCATTCTCCTGAGCCATCGTGGCAGTCTTTCTCTCTTCTAATGCCGAGCAAGTTTTGCGTGCCTCGAATACTGTTCACGAGGCCACTTGTAGCTACCACGCGCAGACCAACTGATTGACTGAACGCTTTCATCAGACCCTATCAGACATGATCGCCACACATATTCATCCCAACCACACGAACTGGGATGCAATTCTACCCTTCGTGACATTCTCTTATAATACGGCTGCTCAATGCACTACCGGCTTTTCTTTATTTTTTCTTGTCAAGGTCGATCGCCGAGTTTCGCTCTGGACGTCTCTTTCTTTTCAGCTCCTGCACGTTCGATGGCTTTTTTCTCTGAAGAATTTTTATCTCGCCTCGCACAGGGCCGTCACCTGGCCTGCGTTAACACCGGCCTCTCTTAAAAGACTCGAAAATCTGGTTACGACTCGTCTCGCCGTGTTGCGAGTTTTTTCCCTGGTGAAGAAGTTCTGCTATGGACTCCACTGAGCGTCCCCGGCTAATGCGACAAGTTTATCAGTCGCTTCATTGAGCCGTATATGGTAGTCGAAAAGACATCTTCTGTCAATTGCCGCGTTTCTCCTCTCAGCACTCATCTTGATCATCATTGCCAACACACAGAGGTAGTGCACGTATCTCGTTCAAATCCATATGCGCGACGCATTTCATAATACTCTCAGGCGACCGCGCGGGGGAATCAGTGTGAGCGCGACAAGCGAATGACTCTTCATTCTTTTTAGATATCATCATCATCATCTGTACATCTGCACCATCTGTAGATATCATCACCAGTGCGATTTAGCTCGAGCTTCGCTGAATAAACCGGTTCCTCACACTACTACTATTATGAGCGCTGACTGTGTAGTTCATCATCTTCACCTGCGCATACGATTCATTTTGATCCTCATCATCCTAGTCTCTCGCCACGTATTCGGTTGCTGGCTTACGCATCTGTGTTGAAAATGCAACGGTCGCTCCTCCGTAGCTGATGTCGTCTCACAAGTGCTTGCACGTGCTGTCATTCCAAAGTCCTCATGCTCAGCCGGTTAGCCCTTTAGGTTCGGTCTGGTTGACGCCTGTGCTTGCCAATAGTCATGGCGCAAAACGACTCACACTCTGCCACCTTCTTTGCTCCACCCGATCATCCTGCTGGCTCTCTCTACACCGTGAGCACAACACAACGAAACCCTCCGGTATTTCACGGCCTTCGCGGTGTATATGTCGAAGAGGGACTGGATAATTACGACAAAACAAGTGCTTGTAATATTTAGGACGAGGCCGACAAACTGCGCTACGTCACCTTTTACCTCAAGGAGGTCTCTAAGACATAGTTACACAACCATGAACGGGACTTTCTCGATTAGAATGCATTCAAGGTGACACTCTGACAGATTTTCAGCTCGTCAGCAGGATGCTCTGAAATAGCCAAACAGAACTCGCCACCCAAATTCAAGGACCACATGAATACTATACATTCTATATTGAAGACGTGCTGGCTCTTTGCCGCTGAGCCCAAATTGCCATGAAGGAGTCTGATCGCATCTATCACCTACTAGAAGGCGTTAATTCTGTCGCTTTCTATGTGCTCGTAATTCAGACCCCCAATACAATTTAAGGCGTCATCCCTACGTGCCAATGTCTAGACGTGCTTTATTCCGTGTGCCTTTTTCAGGCCTCCTGTGACACTCGTCTTACTGGCGAGCATGAGCTGTGGGCTCTAATTCGCACCACAGTGAGAGAGAAACTTCAGAGCCTTGTTCCTGCCTGCGCACCTATTTCATCTGTCCGCTCTCCTCCTCCAAACTTGCGGGAAATCCTGAAGGATGAAATGGCGTTCATGACGAGTGTCGCACGTGCCTCACCCCCTGCGCCCTTACATGTGCCTACTAATGTCGAAGTCGTCTCACG